ACTCCTAAAATCTTGCTGGGTCCCTAAGGTGCCACTGGACTCAAGTTATAAGCAGATTCGGCACCAAAGAAATTCTGGGTTCAAAGTTAATTCTGCAAATCAGACAACCCGTGCAAGCCTGCAAATCGGGCAGCTCCTGAGCATAACACTGGTCAGTCTATGGGATGACAACACTCCGATGAAATGGCTGAGCCGTCGGGTTAGAATGGATAAGAGGAAGTGCTTCTTCACCCGAAGAGTGATCCACACATGGAATTCACTGCCACAGGAGGTGGCGGCGGCTACATGCATGGACGGCTTCAAGAGGGAATTGGATAAGCATATGGAGCAGGGGGTCCATCGGTGGCTATTAGCCACAAGGTATAGATAGGGACTCTCAGTCTGGGGCAAGGGATGCTCTGTATTCTTGGTGCTTGGGGGGGGGCAACAGTGGGAGGGCTTCTAATGTCCTGGCCCCACTGCTGGACCTCCTGAGGGCACCTGGTGTTTTTGGCCACTGTGTGACAGAGAGTGATGGACTGGATGGGCCATTGGCCTGATCCAACATTGGCTTCTCTTATGTTCTTATGTCTGAGGCAAGGAATGCTCTGTATTCTTGGTGCTGAGGGGGGGCAACGGTGGGAGGGCTTCTAGTGTCCTGGCCCCACTGCTGGACCTCCTGATGGCCCCTGGAGTTTTTGGCCACTGTGTGACACAGAGTGACACAGACTGGATGGGCCATTAGCCTGATCCAACACTGGCTTCTTTCTTATGTTCTTAACCTTCGTTATCAGCCACAAGGTCCTTTTCCGTTCACATGCCGCTCTCCGACTCAAGCCGAGTGGGCATCATGAAGTGATGACTGCATTTCTGCCAGCGGGGCTCGATCAGGAAGGGTACGTGAGCTTTCTGTCTCGGCGGGCCATACACAGTCTGACCGGGCCCCTGATGAGGCAAAGGGCCAGACTTTGAGGCCTCCTTGCTATGCAAGGCACCTGAGCTGGAACTGCCTGAAGGAAGCCTCCAACTGACCCTGCTGGACGGCTTCCTCGATTTTCAAGTCCTTTCTCTGTCCTACCCTGAAACGTTCAGTCTGGCTGCCTGGGCTGGGTTCGCTTTCAGAGAACAGGTCTTCCCTAAAAGCTCTCTGGACCTGCTGAGGCCAAAAACACCTCAGATGTATGCCCCCCCCCCCTGTTTCTTGAGGTGCCCCTGCAGGGTCTTTGACCCGCCCCGTCCGCCAGCTGCCTGCAGTGGCTCCCACAGCTCCTGTCCGGGCTGGCACATTTCCTTCTGAGCCTGTGCGGGTGGCCCAAGGGATGGCTGAAAGGCAGGTGATGCAAAGCCCTCTCCCCCCCCCCCACTGAGGCCAAGAGGGGTTTGGGTCAGGCCCGTGCCAGGACAGGATGCCAGCCTGGAACTGCCCTCTCAGCGGCCTGGGCTCCCGCCAAGGAAGGAGGGCCGTGAAATCAAGATGTAAACAGCGGCGGTGGAGAAAGGGAGGGAGGGAAAGTGAGGGGACAGGACTGCAGAGAGCCAGTGGGGGCCCCGGAACAAAGACTCCATCTGCCCCCCCTCCCCAACGCCCAACCCAGATCCAAACCAAAGATCACAACAAAACAGATCACTTGGCTCGCTGTTTCATAGCATCACAGAATCACACAGAGTTGGAAGGGGCCCTACAGACCATCTAGTCCAACCCCCTGCCCAATGCAGGACCAGTCTAAACCATCTCTGACAGATATTCCTCCAGCCTCTTCTCGAAAGCTGTCAGTGAAGGGGAGCTCACCACCTCCCTGGGCAGTGGATTCCACCTTTGAACCACTCTGACGGCGAAAAAGTTTTTTCCCTAACATCCAGCCGATACCTTTCTGCCTGTCATTTAAACCCGTTGCTCCTCTGCTGTCAACTGGAACCGCTCCTTGCCCTCCTCCAAATGACAGCCTTGCAAAATATTTAAAGAGAGCAATCATGTCCCCCCTCAATCTCCTCGTCTCCAAACTAAACATTCCCAAGGCCCTCAGCCTTTCCTCGTAGGGCTCAGTCTCCAGACCCCGGATCACCCTCGTCGCCCTCTTCTGCACCCTCTCGACTTTGCCCCCATCCTTTCCATGTATCTATAATAATAAAAGAATCCAAATGCCCACCTGTCTCTCCATTTGTGGCGGGAATAGCTTATCAGAGAATAAAACTAGGAATCTCAAAATTAGCCACCAGCTTCAGAATGATCATGGGAGTTCCAGGGCCAAACACTGAGAGGGATTGGAACGTTCCTGGCCCCGATTATCACCAGGAACCGCCCCCCCATGTTATTTGCCATGGACGCTAAACCCGTGTAGTGGTTGAAGTGTCAGACGGGGATCTGGGAAACCCAGGTTCGAATCCTCACGCTGCCATGGGAGCTTGCTGGCTGACCTTGGGCACATCACACACCTGTCAGTCTAACCTACCTCACAGGGTTGTTGTGAGAATAAAATGGAGGAGACGACAATGATTTCAGAAGGGAGGGAGAGACACTAGAAATGGGAATAAACGGCTGGCAGATCATGAAAGGGAGGGAGCAAAACAAAGGAGGAGAAAAGCGTAGGAAAGAGAAATGTAGGAAAAGGCAAAAAAAAAATGTAGGAAAAGGCAAAAAAGTACCAGAAAAATATCGGTAAATGCTGAATTTCCCCAGTAAAATACCAGTAAGGTATTTGGATTGGGGCTACATTCAGTATTCCTGAATATATTCGGGTCCGGTTTACACCACCAGAGGGAAAGGAGGCATGTTAGAACTTCTTACCCTCTGGTAGACTCTACAGATTTCCCTGTCAATTTCACTCACTGCCAATCAGCAGAAATTGACAAGGGAAAGCCTCTCTCTGCCTTTCCTTCTCTAGTTGACAGATTGTAGCTGGAAAAGGGATGATCGGGATGGGAAGCAGGCATGTTTACAATGCCTATCTTTCCCTCCCCGACATCAGGGAGGGAAAGAAAGGCATTTAAACCCAACAGATGACAGGCGAGCCGGCTGTTAGGTTTAATGAGACCTTTTCCGTACAGCAGAATGAACCCAAAGAAAAGCCAGATAATTGCGGCTTTTTCGGGTTCAGCTATACCAGTAGCCGAATACAGAACTGTGATCTGTATTCGGTTTATGCGATACCCGAAAAATACTGAAAAGGTATTTTTCGGTTCGGCTATAGCTGAATGCACACCCCTAGTCTTAAGGTGAGAGAAAGAGAGACACTGCAGATCCTGCAATTCCATCCTAAAACCAGAACTGCCTGGGAACTTGGCTCGCAAGTACTTCCAAGTTCTTGTTACAAGTATAATTCTCCTCTCTTGCATCAAATGGTATCTTTTAAGGTCTTCTTAAGCTTGAATCTACTTTCTGCATCAAAGTAGAACATGCCCTTGCCTAACTCCTGGTTATAAATATGCAAGAGGCTAAGAACCGACTGTCACCTGCCTGATTCCTGCCAGCCTCTCCTAGCCATTTGTTGGAGCTGCTGTGAAGCCATGGAATGTTCTCCAAAAGTCTAACTGCTCAGGGTCTAGGTTATCAGCACCAGATTGTTGACAAACAGTCCAGCTTCTGTGAGGGAAGTGAAAAGAACAACTTACATGGGTGCTTATTGTCAGAAGGAGGGAAGGGGAAAACAGGCATGACCCCATGAACGTGCTCTCTACTGAATCAGACCGTCGGTCCATCAAAGTCAGTATTTCCTACTCAGACTGGCATCAGCTCTCCAGGGTCTCAAGCAGAGTTCTTTCACATCACCAACTGCCTGGTCCTTTTTACGGGAGGTGCTGGGGATTGAACCTGGGACCTTCTGCATGCTGAGCAGGTGCTCTACTGCTGAGCCACGTCCCTCCCCTTAAAAGCACAGGACACAGGATAGCCAGGGAGACTGAAGGCTTGCTTGAAATAGCCCACCCTATCTTCAGCTGCAACTCTCTAGTTGATAATTAGAATCAAAGAATCATAGAGGTGAAAGGAACCTCCAGGGTCATCTAGTCCAACCTCCTGCACAATGCAGGAAACGCACAAATACCTCCCCTCACACCCCCAGTGACTGCTGTTCCACGCCTAAAAGATGACACAAACCCTCCAGGATCTCCAGCCAAACTGGCTAAACTAAGAGAAGTATGTTTTTGTCCAACAGGGAAGTATGTTCACACGTGTATGTGTGTGGGGGGAATGTAATCACAGAGCTGATTATTGACAAGGATTACAAGATGGAAACTACTCTTATGGTGTGTGTGTGTTTTTAAATCTTCCATTATTTCTGAAACAATGAACAACTGGGGGGAGGGGGCTGCCAATACAAAGCCAGCAAGAACAGTTACCGGAAGGTGTTTCAAGAGGCAGCTGTAACCAAAAATCCCCAGTAAGAGTGTGCCTTAACATGCATACGAGAACAACATGGAAAACTGCAGGACTTCTCCCTTCCTTCCCTCCATCCACATGCCTTTCTCCCTTGCTACATAGAACTGACTCCAGTGTTCCCTCTAAGCTGAGTTCGTGTGAGCTAGCTCACAGTTTTTTAGCCTCCAGCTCACATACTTTTGTCTTAACTCAGGAAGGATGGGCTCCAGAGCAAACTAATTTAGGCAGCGGCCCAATTGCTTGCTCACAACTTTAATGCCAGTAGCTCACAAAGTAGAATTTTTGCTCACAAAAACCCACAGCTTAGAGGGAACATTGCTGACTACCAGTCCTCCCAATGCCTGCCAGCCATCTTGAGTCCGTGGCTTTCATCCGGATGGCAGCCAAGAAGAGGTGGGCGCCCCACATGGGACTGCAACACATCCAGCCACCCCCTTGTGCCACTCCACAGAAATCTCGGCACCCACAAAAGTGGCACGGTGGTCAGCTAGCGGCAACTCTGCGGGCAGGCGGGCTACAAGAGGGACTCACGGCTAGCCCACTAGCCACCGGAAAGGACTTAACCCACAGGCCTGATGCCCAGTGGTGCGTGTGTGTCTCAAGGGCCTACTTGGGTGTTGGCTAATGGTGGGAATGTCACACTTACCTACAGATTTTGTCCGTGGAATTCCTTTGCGTAGCGAAATGTGGGGTTTATCTGGCCCAGCGTGCGCTGCCATGCCTTGCCGCTCAAACAGTGACTGGAAAAGGACAGGACAAGAGAGGTTTGCATCCCAGCAGGAGCCTTGAGATAGAACAGTGAGGGAGGGGGACAGCGAGGGCTCAAACGGCACAGAGGGAGCTCTCACCTCCCAAATGCAAACTGTAGGCAGCTGCAGCCTCACTTGGCCTTGGGGCCACGGAGAGAAGGGGAAACGTTTGTGTGTGTGTGTGTGTGTTAACCATTCAAGTTCCGCACAGATTCAGTACTTGAAACCAAAAGTCCCATTTTGTTATTTGCATTTTAAGGGAAGAATGGGCCCTTTACTTCACATTTCTCCTGTGCTCAGCTCTCGGGGAAACTGAGGCTGCAGAAGCTTTGAGGTTAGGGTTAGGGTTAGGGTTGCTCGCTTTGAGGTTTGAGGTTGCTCGCTTTGGACAGAATGAGCCCACTGATTTTTGCCTGGTCTATTTGAGCCTGAGACTGCGCGTGAGAGAGGCTGCAGGAGGGTCATGTCAGGATTAACAATGTCCCAGCCAGTGTTCCCTCTAAGCTGAGTTAGTGTGAGCTAGTTCACAGTTCTTTAGCCTCCGGCTCACATGTTTTTGTCTTTGCTCAGGAAGGATGGCTCCGGAGCAAACTAATCTATGCACCAGCCAAATCGCTCGCTCACAACTTCAATGCCAGTAGCCCACAAAGTAGAATTTTTGCTCACAAGACTCCACAGCTTAGAGGGAGCATTGGTCCCAGCTCTAATCAAAACCTGCAGACATGTTCGGTGGGGTGGGGTGGGGGATCAACTTCCATTCCCCCCGCAGGGCAACTAAATTGTGTGGTGCACCGTTGATGCTCAGTCTCTGGGCATCCGACAGGTGGCTGGAGGTAGTGACGGGAAGAGGAGGGCAAGTCAGAGCAGAAGGGCAGAGGAACTGTGACGGGAGACGGGCAAACTGAAGCCCTGTTGCAGGAACAAAGGGATGTCCTCTGGTGGCCCCACATGCCCTGTGGGTTGAAGCTCGGACCTCAGAGCAGGAGGCCCCCCTCCTCTGTAAACGAGAGCACTGTGCCTTCTTGGGCCACGGGCTTTGTAGACTGAGCTTTTTGGAACCTGAAGGCTGGGGGTGTCCAGCTGACCAGCACGGGGTTTTGAGGAGAATCCGGCCCACCAAGGCTGTTCCAAACCCAACTGGGTCCCACCACGCCCCCCTGCCAGGATCTAGAGATTATTACAGAAGAAAAAACTGCAAATTTGTGCAGACAACACTTGTAATATTATAATAATGCACTAGAACACACAGAGTGTTCTGAGTGTTCTAGTGCATTATTATAATATTACAAGTGTTGTCTGCACAAATTTGCAGTTTTTTCTTCTGTAATAGTCTCATTAACTGCAACCTCCTGTCCTTGAGGATCTAGAGATTGGAATTCCAAAAACAACATCCGTGACCAAAATAACAAAGAGTCAATAAAGATAAGTTGCAAAAATGTTTACTGTAGTAATTTCTGTAGAAAATTCTCTTCTATTATCGCTCACATGCTAACGAATACTGCGCAATGAACAATTCGTTTCACAATATTTGCTTTATCTGAGCGTGTAGCGATCCCAATTCTCATCCATTTCTACTTATCAACTCTTGGAGAAAACATTCCATGTTGACTCTCTAATAACAGAACCGAAGGTCTTCATGAATTGTTCATTGTGCAGTATTCGTTAGGGTGTGAGTGATAATAGAAGAGAATTTTCTACAGAAATTACTACAGTAAACATTTTTGCAACTTATCTTTATTGACTTTGTTATTTTTGTCACGGATGTTGTTTTTGGGATTCCACTTCCTCCCGTGAGCTCTCATTTTTGGCTTCTAGGACTGGCATCGCCAGACTGTCATGCAACATGTCTCAGCTTAGGCCCTGGTGGATGCACCATGCCGCAGTCCTGCCCCCCACCTGCAAATAAATCCATGTTTTCAACACAGAGGAGAACCTTCAAGGGAACCAAGGCCTCATCCCCTCTCCCAGCTCTCCCCCCAGACTTCCTCCCCGCCCTGCCCGGATGCACTCCCTTCTCTCTCACACTGATCTCCGCGGGAGTGATGCGCCGGCTGGTCGGCCGCTGCTTCACCGTGGCTGCCCTGGAATCCGCCTCCACAATGTCCGCTCTCAGTGAGGGTTCAGCTGCTGCCAAAATCTCGTCCAGCTTCTCTGCAAAGTCAGACACACACCGCCCCATTAGTCAGGAATCCCAGAGTCCCTCATCCGATCTGCCCTGAGATGGGATGTGGGGGGGGGGGCTACATGGAGAGGGGGGGGAACCCTTGGAGGAGCAGCAGCAGGAGGAGTTGGGGGAGGGGCCTGTCTTCTGCCTCCACCAAGGGTGGCTCCACAGCTCTTTGAAGGGCGTGCAAAGCCCCACGCCAGCCCCACACAGGAACGCAGGGGAGTGGATCTGGCTATGCAGAGCAGAGTGTGAGCCAGAAGCTGGCCTCTCCCAAGCCCTCCTCAACACGGGCAAACCCCCTAAAACCGCAGCCTGATTGTCTGGGACGTCCTCTGCGTTCTGTGACACAGAGGAGCCTCTCCACCTTCCCTCGTCCCCTCAGGGATTTCCCAGGCCCCCAGCGCCCAGTGCAAGTCGCCCTGCTTAAGCTTTTCTGTTCCTCGTGGCCTGGGCCAGACACATCGGTTTTTGTTTGTCTGCTTGCGCCAGTCAATCTTTTGCTTTGAAGGCTCCTGCCCAAGAAAGCACAAGAACACCGGAAGAGCCCTGCTGGATCAGACCGATGGTCCATCGGTTCCAGCAGCCTCTTTCACACAGTGGCCAACCCATTGCTCTGGAGGACCAAAGAAACAGGGTCCAGATGTCCAGGCATTCCTCCCTGTGGCCTCCCACTACTGGGGCGTGTCCTGGCTGATGGCAACGGCCCTCACGTTGGCCAGGTCCAGGTCAGGAGCAAGAAGCTACAGTAAGTGATGGCACCTCAGAGCACAGACCCGGCCAGAGGGGAAGCTGCCCTGGACAGGGCCATAGTTTGGCCTCAATTGCAAACAGTGCTCTTGTGCTCACAAACTCTGTAAAGAGAAGGCTGCCCACAATATCTCAACATGACCACATTTGATTTCATCTCAACATGACCGCATTTGATTCCATCTCAACATGACTGCATTTGATTCCATCTCAACATGACCACATTTTATTTCATCTCAACATGACTGCATTTGATTCCATCTCAACATGACCTCATTTGATTTCATCTCAACATGACCACATTTTATTTCATCTCAACATGACCACATTTGATTTCAGAAGAGGAAAATGAATCTATTAGTACAAGTCGAATGGGAGAGTGACAGGGGTCAAATCTTGAACAGGTTTCCTCAAGAGGCAGCACAGAAATGTTCTAAACAAACCAACAAACAAACAAACCTCTTCTGGGCCCTTGGAAATAATGGACAGTCAGAATGTATACCACAGCTCAGCAAAAGGTATGATGCCAGCGTAGTTCGCCAGCAAAGACAAAGGCAAAAAGTGGAACTCTCACCCAAATAAGGAAAGCAAGAACGTGCACATTCAACCTTTTATCACACTTCTATCCTACTTTTAGTCCAATAAACTAAGGGTGTGTACATAATGCTTCTCTCCTCTGTTTGTCCTGACAACAACCCTGTGAGGCAGGTTAGACTAAAAGAGAATCGAGGACAGTAAGTGTTGCCCTGCTGGATCAGACCAATGGTGCATCTAGCCCGGCATCCCATCTCACACAGTGGCTGACCAGTTCCTCTGCAGGGCCCACAGACAGGGCACAGAGGCCGAGTCCTTCTCCTGATCTTGCCTCCTGGCACTGACTGCCTATGGACGTGGAGGTTCCCCTCAGCCTCTGTGGCTAGTAGCCACTGGTAAACCTCTCCTCCATATCTAATCTCCATGTGTTCACACAAAAGGTAAGATGGAGTTCAGAAACTCATGTTCTGTGATGCCTTCTTCAATGCTATGTGGAGAAGGGAAGGGCTACTTTCAAGCAAAAAAAAAAAAGATACTTCTAGCTGCAGCGACCAGCGCGTGAATAGCTGCGAACCACAGCCAGGTAAGATAGCTTTAGGGGGTCTTTTAGAAGCCACTTTTGACCACTCTACATACCCAAAGGTAATGTGGTTCCTCTTGGTAGCTGAACCAGGTGGGTCGTTTCAATGCTTACAGGTAGTTGCTCATCTTGCCACGGGGGCTTAGGAAGCTGAGGAAGAGGGGCCGTGGCTCGGTGGCAGAGCCTCTGTTTGGTGTGCAGAAGGTCCCGGGTTCAGTCCCCGGAAGCATCTCCAGTTGAAAGGATCAGGTAACAGGCACTGTGAAAGACCTCCGCCTGAGACCCCGCAGAGGCGCTGCCAGTCTGAGCTTCCTCCACCGTGGCCTTCTTGTATGACCTTGGCCAAATCACCCCCTTTCCTCCACAGGTGCTTGCCAGTAAAATGAGGAAGATCACCACGAGACCTTGACACGTAATATTTTTGGCCACCGTGTAACACCAAGTGTTGGACTGGATGGGCCATTGGCCTGACCCAACATTGGCTTCTCTTATGTTCTTATGTCTGGGGCAAGGGATGCTCTGTATTCCTGGTTCTTGGGGGGGGGGAACAGTGGGAGGGCTTCTAGTGTCCCTGCCCCACTGCTGGACCTCCTGAGGGCCCCTGGTATTTCTGGCCACTGTGTGACACAGAGTGTTGGACCGGATGGGCCTTTGGCCTGACCCAACGCTGGCTTCTCTTATGTTCTTATGTCTAGGGCAAGGGATGCTCTGTATTCTTGGTGCTTTCGGGGGGGGGGGAACAGTGGGAGGGCTTCTAATGTCCTGGCCCCACTGCTGGACCTCGGCACCTGGTATTTTTGGCCACCGTGTGACACCAAGTGTTGGACTGGATGGGCCATTGGCCTGATCCAACACTGGCTTCTCTTATGTTCTTATGTCTGGGGCAAATGATGCACTGTATTCTTGGTGCTGGGGGGGGGCAACCGTGGGAGGGGGCTTCTAATGTCCCAGCCCCACTGCCGGACCTCCTGATGGCACCTGGTGTTTTTGGCCACTGTGTGACACAGAGTGTTGGACTGGATGGGCCTTTGGCCTGATCCAACATTGGCTTCTCTTATGTTCTTATGTTCCCTGTTTCTGAAACGGGACTGGCCACAGCCGGGATGAGTCCAGGCTGCCCCCTGCTAAGCTCTCTGGAAGCCTGCTTTGAAATGAAGAGGGACCCAAGGAGACTCCCAGAGACCCAAATCCTGGAGTTGAGCAATGGCCATGGGGCTATGACACACACACACACACACACAGAGGCCCTGCCCACAGCCGGGTGCTTCTGTACAACGGGGAGGGGGAATCAAACCTGGTTCTCCCAGATTAGAGTCCGCGCACTTAACCACGACACCAAACTGGCTCTCGTAGTCCAGAATACGGGACTCTATGGGGAGATTACAGAGGACTTGACCTTGTGGACCTCACCCAAGCCCCTCACATGTCCTCTTGATCCTCATGTTGGCTTCTGGTTCTCTCTCTCTCTCTCTCTCTCTCTCACACACACACACACACAGTGTGGATCCGTCTCTGCTGGGCTCAGCCGTGCCACCATCTCCCCCCTCTCAAAAAGCACCTCCCCTCCCCTCCTCCCCCTCCAGGACCACCCCACAACCCCTCCTATTCCTTGCCTCCCCACTCCCCGGATCCTACTTCCCCGGACTCTGTCCTCAGCCGCTTCTCCCCAACCCGTCCAAAGTGGTCGTTCGGACACCAGATTCTAGACTCTCTCAACTCCCCTGTCTTCTTGACCTCTGCCACACACTGTGTGTGCTGTCGGCACAAACTGGTGCCTTTCTTACCCCACCCTGCCTCCTAAGGGCTCAGGAAGGAGAAGAAGAAGAGGAGGAGGAGGAGATGGGATTTATACCCCGCCCCTTACTACCTGAAGGACTCTCAGAGGGGCTTGCAATCTCCTTTCCCTCCCCCTCCCCACAACAGACACCCTGTGAGGGAGGTGGGGCTGAGAGAGCTCTTTTTCAAGAACAGCTTCGAGAGAACTGTGACGGACCCAAGGTCACGCCAGCCAGGTGCAAGTGGAGGAGTGGGGAATCAAACCCGGTTCTCCCAGATTAGAGTCCGCGCACTTAACCACGACACCAAACTGGCTCTCCTGCTGCCATTTTTATCCTCGCGACAATCCTGTGAGGTCCCTGAGAGTGACTGGTCCAGGGTCACTCAGGGAACTTCACAGAAGACTGTGAATCTGAACCCGGGTCTCTTGGCCACGGCACTCCGTTGGCAAGGCCTGAGCATGGCTGTGGATGACAGGGCCTTTGGGGAGCCATTCATCACCCATCCACCCATTCACTCAGGGAGCTGCTGTAAGTCGGAAGCGTCTTGGCGGCACGTCACGCACCCACATTCCCCGAGCCTCGAAGTCTGGCACTCTCGCCACCACGCCCCACTGGCTCTCACAGTGGTGGTACGGGCGACTGTGTGTGGGTTCCGACGCGAAAGACGGGTGAGTCCAGCGAGTGACAGAGGGCAGGAGTCCTCCCCGGCCTCCTCAAGGGAACAACTGCTTGGGTTCCTCCTCCGTGCCTTCCCAGCCACGCTGACGGGAGCCGATCGCTTCCCTCAGGGCTCAAGCCCGTCCCAGTGTGGGTTCCGAGCCAGGATCTCTGGGGAGGGGGTGGGCTGTGCCGTGCCTTGCCTTGCGCTCGGAAGGACGCCAGCTGGGCTGCACCACACCACAGTCGCCGAGTGTCCGTGTGCTTGCCCGCAGCAGCTGCAGGCCCCCGCGGCACCGAGTCCCTGCTTCCTTCCCCGTGGGCTCATAGTCCGTGGCTCTTGGAACTCAGTCAGACGGGAGCCGCCTGTGTGCAGCACAGCCATTTCTGCAGTGGCCGGGGGGGGGGGGGGGGGGCGCGCC